TGCACTATTAACTACTGAGTTATATCTCCAGCCCATATTTCTTTTAAAAATAATGCTTATTTTATTCTGTAAAACATGTCTAGCTTCTGCAATTATCCTTTTGCTGTCTTCAAAAGAGTAGACTGAACAATTGATATGAAAGTTTGGGGTAAGTCAAGATAATTTGCTTGGATGAAAGGAAATACCCCCAAAATACACATATTAATATGTTTTCTATAATCATACTGTTTATGCCCATTCACCCCTAATTCACATTGAAATCCTAACTTACCAAATGATAGTATCGGGAGGTAGGGACTTGATAAAATGATTAGGTCATGAGGAATTTGTCTCCATGAATAGGATTAGTGCCACACAATGAGAAGATGTCATTTATGACTGAGAAATCACCAGACACACAAATCTGCCAGTACCTTGATCTTAGACTTGCCAGCCTTCAGTACTGTGAGGAACAAAATTCTGTTGTTTGTAAGCCACCCACCCTTATGGCATTTTGTTGCAGCAGTCTAGACTATGGCAGTGCATCACAGTTTATCTTCCCTGAAATCAAGTATTAGCAAAACCACTCTCTGTGACAAATTCTGTCTCTCCAGCAAGGAAAGACGTGAGATGACTATCTAGATCACTGACACTGAAAGACATATTGTTGCAGGAGTGCTTTAAATAATTAAAATTAAACAGATATGCCGATTTCAATTCCCATCATCAAATTATTCAAACCAATACCTCAATTTTAGGATGAAACAGAAACCATATCTTGTATATCCTCCATGTTTTTTTCTGGAAAAAAAATCTCTTCTACTGTCCGAAAATGAGACATCGTATTATATCTAAAGGCACCAAGGGGGGATCTCCCTGGAAGCAATGATTGAGGCAGAAACATATCAGACAGAAATCTAGCTTGAGAATACCAATCCTGGAAGACAAGCTTCATTCCCCTCCCCTTTTTGTTCAGGTTATCAACCACAAAGCCTGAAACATATTATGAGTACTTTGCTGTGGAAACTGTGTGTGTGTGTGTTTCTTATTTTACATATTGATCCCAGTTCCCTCTCTCTCCCTCCGTTTCTCCCTCTCTCCTTCTCTCCCTCTCTCCTTTTCTCTCTCCCTCCCTCTGTTTTTCTCTCCCTCCCTCTCTCCTTCCCTCCCATGCCCCCCAACCCCCTCCCACTCCACAGGGAGGGTGATGCATCCAGAAGGGGCAACAGAATCTGTCAAGTCATTTGGAGTAGGGACTAGGCCCTCCCTCCTGCCTCTAGGTTAAGGGAGTATCCCTCCATGGGGAATGTGCCCCTAAAGTCTTTTTGTGCACCAGGGATACATCCTGGTTCCACTGTCAGAGGTCCCTTAGACTGCCCAGGCCTTTTAACTGTGACCCATATTCAGGGGGTCTCAGTAGGTCCAATGCTGTATTTCCAGCTATCAGCCTGGGGGTCCATGAGCTCCCTCCTGTTCAGGTCAGCTGTCTCTGTGGGTTTCTGTAGCCTGGTCTTGCCCCCATTTTCTTATCACTCCTCCTTCTCTGCAACTGGATTCCAGGAGTTCGGCTCAGTGGAAACATTCTTTTTGAGGTGATTAGAAATTTATGGCTTTCTGTAGTCTCAAAGTTGTATCATTGTAGAATTTGGTTTATTATATTTTAAGAATGGTGTAATATTTCTGGTGCAAGAAAAATAATTAATTTTTTTTACTTCACAAAAGTCTAATAACCAAAAGTACGTAGAATGGATGAGACTTCTAAATCTGTAGCAGATGGAATCAATGTGATGAATCATGTATGAATGTGGCTGGACTGGCAATATGGCTCAGATGGTAAAGGCACTTGCCACCCTGATGATCTTATTTAGAAAGTTGTCCCCTGATCTCTTCACTCCTACCATGATGTGCACGCACACACACAAATGAATGTAATTTTAGAAAATTCACTATCATATATGTTCAAGCCATTTGATGCTTACTGTTACATTAATGGCCCAAAGTGGTGGTCAAAAGAATAGAACATTTTTGTATAAAAACTATCTTTCATGTTCTGACCTGTTTTGTCTACATTTTCATATTTTTCTAATAATATCTATACAATTTTGTTTCTCAATCGCTAGTGCATGATAAATAGGGAGAGCCACTTGGAGTATCACATTAAAAAAATGATAGAGAGACCACATCAGGTACCATCTGAGAGAGGGACTTGACAGAGAGATGTACCTGCCATACTGACCAACTGCTCAAAAGAAGAAAAGGAGAAAAATAACACCCACAAACATTGTATGTTGGTTGTTCAAAATGCACTTTTTATTCACTTTGACACAGATGAGTTTTTAAACAACTGGAACAAAGTATCTTATACACATTTTGAGATGTTTAGCAGCACCTGCAGCAAGAGGACTGTGGAATACCTCAGGATAAATGAGAGTTGGCTGAGGCAGGTACAAATACACCTGAAATTCATCAATCCACTGAAGACATATGGAACCTGAGGCCCCCTCAAAGCCAATACATGACAATAAACTAGATAAATATTTTGTAAGATGTTTTAATGGACTATTGAAAAACAGTATGCTTCTAATGAGAAATACATCATTCCAAAAATTGAGTGTTCATTAAAAAACACCTATTGAAAATGTTTTGCTGCACATTCTAGATATACAGTCAATTTCAAAACGCATATGCACAGTTCCTGGTACCACAGATGTCAGCTTTTGGTGTTTTAAAGCTTACCCAAACTCTATGTCAGCACCCACTGAGTGTTACTCACAAAAATGACACTGTTTTGTCACTTACTGCTAAGTGCTTGATACTGTGAATTAACTTGGTAGAAAAAAAAAGTGCATGTCTAAGAAGAAAGGGGCTTCAGTTTACCTTCCACTCAAATTAATACTTGTCTCGATGGACAGGGTGCCTATGAATTTAATAACCATGTACTTTTTTTTACTCAAATGACCACATGCCACTCTACAGAGACAAATAGTTTTTGTGAGATGATGGAGATCTTTATGAAGGCCTGAGATCTACAAATAGAAACTATTATCAGCAGAGTGCAAGGAGAAAGAGAAGGCCCCAGGTCTCATGCACCTAAAAACAATTACTACTTATTAGCTCTGACGTACAGATATTCACCCTAACATGATTGTAGCAAAACGACTAGAACATTGAAACCAGTGTGGCTGGCTATAGGCATAGGCAGGATAGGAACCAATATTTAAGAGCTGTGGGGTCCCAGTTCTGGCTTTGACTTCTGGCATATAACTTAACTGGACAATAAGGTCAGGACTATGCCATAATTGGAAATACTGAATATGTCCGGGTTGAAATACTGTCCGCCTCTTGTCTATGTGGCCAAAAAATACCAGAGTTCTTAAAGCACATAAGGTCCCACATGTAAGGCTGATTCCATGTGTGGCTACAATGGAGAATTCTAGGCTGTATTCCCGTGAATGCTCCTACCCCATCTTGGACCTAAATCTCTTCGGGAGGGTTTATCTAACTGTCCCTCTCTATAGTGGGTCACAATTTTTATCATACATGTTTTAAAGCAAAGATTAAATCTATGCAGAACAGCCAATAAAAACCACATGGCACACTCACAATACAGTATATAATTGGCAGTCATGGTAGTCAAAATTTGCCAAACCATTTTGAGCATGGTTTCTTTGGAATATGTTTTAATAGTAGTTGTTGTTAAAGGCTAATCCCAGAATGGCTTGAGGAGTTTTAAGGCCCTCTCTTTAGTCTTAACTATTATTTTCAGAAAAATCCAACAAGAATATGGCACTGACATAGTTTATAAGTTCTGAACTTAAACCTGAAGGAACCTTATACCAAACATGTAGCCAGTACAGCAATTCCTTTTACAGTATTTGAACAGATGGCCATCCAGTGACTACTTTTACTTGGAGGGAGCTCACTATTAAGGCAGTCTATTCCACTTTTTAACAAATCTAATTATGATGAATTCATTCTAACACAAAGTTTAAAAAAATCTGCTCTTTTGCCCATTTTACTGTCCTAGTTTGGCCAGCTGAACATTTTGTGGGGCATCTCAAGAAGAAGACCCTCTATAACACACAACTGAGTGAAGGAGCCTGTGAGAAAAGCCTGTTACTCTGCAATCTTTCCTGAAGCCTTCTTTATGTGCCAGCATGGTGAACCATAGGACCATCTAAATTGTAGGCAGAGAGCATGACACCTGAAGCCACATACTAAGCAGCATTGCTAAATTGATAAGTTGTCAAGGAAGCAACATCTCTATGGAGCAGCAGTACTATGAAGGAAAAGCAGGCCAACCATGTATTTGCAAAGGGGGTTGGCATATTTAAGCGTAACCCATTCGCTAGTGTCCTGTGACTCACACACACGGATTAGAATCAACCTCCAGTGTCATTAGAGTAATTCTTGTTCAGATGATTTTTAAGTTCATATGAGATTAAACCATATATGAAGATTTGAACATGTCAGTGTGTATTTTTATACATCCACATTCCTAATCATCACCACCATTTTCTAATTCATGCAAAGAAATCCTTGCTTCCGTTGTTATTTTTGCTGTAATACAGCCCAGAATCTTGTTTTCCCCTTTGGTAGAAATGTCATAAACTGCTTGGCAAGAGTCTGGTGGTGGTATCTGCTAGCTGGTTAATGGGACACTTTAAGCTCTTTCACTCCTTCATGCGGCTGGGTTCTAGGTTTAAACCTTGACTTAAAAAGTACTTAAATCTCTCAGAACTAAAACTTTCTGAAGTGTCCTGAGACACACAAGAAGGGAAAATAGCAGGAATCACACAAAATACACTTGGCTCAATAAAGCTTTTTTTAAAAACTGGTCTACAATTTCAATTTGAAAGGTTCTGTTTCAAAAGTAGAACCTTATCTTTTACCCTGGCATGCCCATGGGTGTGTGCATGCCTGTGTGTGTGTGTGTGTGTGTGTGAGAGAGAGAGAGAGAGAGAGAGAGAGAGTGTGAGAGAGAGGGTGTGTGTGAGAGAGAGAGAAAGAGAGACTGTGTGTGTGTGTGTGTGTGTGTGTACTGCCAGAGGGTGCAGTAGTTCTTACACTATGGACTAACCAACTTAGTGCACACTTTTCAACACAGTCCCTATGTCTAACAGCATGAAGAACTTGCTTTGGTGCCACTGTTTAAATCAATGGTGTGACCTAACATGCAATGTTCCAGCTGTTCCTCTACAGCTAACACCTGCCTAACAGCTTCTTCAAAGGCCACTGTCACATTAGTATCATCTTTGGCACTTGTTTCTAGATAAGGGTAATTTCCATTCTCCATGCACCAGGCTTTTGCCTCCTCAGTCGTCACTTGCCTATCCTCTTTGTCTACTTTGTTACCCAGAACCACAAAGGGGAAGTGTTCCGGGTCCTTTACATCTGCATAGTAGATGAATTCTTTTTGCCAGTTACCAAGGTTCTCGAAGCTCTGCCGGTCATCCACACTGTAGGTCAGCAAACAGCAGTCTGCTCCCCTGTAGAATGGTGTTCTAAGACTCTTGAAACGTTCCTGCCCTGCAGTGTCCCAGATCTGAAGTGTCACAAAGCGTCCATCTACCTCCAGATCTCGATTTAAGAACTCTACCCCTATAGTGTGAAAAGCCTGGGAGTCGAACTTGTTGGTGACATAGCGGTTCATAAGTGAGCTCTTCCCAACTCCACCATCACCCAAGAGAATGACCTTTAAAAGAAGGGATTTCCCACTCATTGTTGCAGCAGCAAACAGGGAGAAGTTTGCAAACAAAAGAACCTGAAAATACATGAAGATGTAGGAAAGAACAGTTAAACATGAAACAAATCAACTTCATAGAAAATTTCCTTAAATAATGATCTTAGATGAGCATTTCTTAATTTAAAACAGGGAGAGAAAGAAAACCCTTTTAATAAAAGAGGGAAAACTTGTCTTATTTTTCTGAGGCTTCTTACCTGTTCAAGAAATGGCTGAATGTCATGAGTAAGCCAACTAGCAGATTGCTCCACAATTTGTTCAGTTCAAACACTATTCTAAGTGAGAGACTCTATAACAGGTATACCACTAAAATGTGTGACCATATTAATTCCCAGTTTGGACACTTCTAAACAAAATGCAAATATGAAATTTATTCAAGGTTTAATGTTTGCTTTTAAGGGACCTAGGTGTTACTGGATGGTATAAAGTCGTATTTTTGATTCTATCAGTCAGGATCTGGCTCCCAATTGAACTGGACCCAAGAATATGGAAAAGAGAAAAAAATCAACCTTCTCTAAGCATTTACTCCCATTATACTTGCATTGAAATGGATACTATAATAAGGAATGGATTTTCCATAATTTTGTCTTCATGGTACAATGACACTTAAGTTTATGACAGTTGACTAAGATCAACATAATAGGTATTATCCAAAGAGGATATTATGGGTTTCTTCAATATAAGTTTTAATACCCCCCAAAACAATATATTAACAGTCACAATAAAACCAAAAGCACTCATAATAATGTAGCAATTTTCTTGTTATCTATAAAAAATATTTATACATGAACTACCCAGAATACATGTTAAAATATTCTGTTAGGTATTGTCACATTAGATCTATAATGGAAACTCAAGAATATTGATATTGAGTAAGTTCTTTTATGCAAAAGCCTCAAAGGAAGGAAACCTAAACACTAATCAAAAAGTATATGCAAAAGAGATTCTAAAAGCACACACAATCTGAAAGCCACAATAGTCCTTACATTATTTTTGGAATTATTTTTAAAATTATAAATATTCCTTTTTCAACAAAAGAAAATGTAAAATATCAAAATTTATGGCATGATCTCATGAATTACTTACCCAGCTGGGTTTTTTTTTCACAATTTCAGCCTTCCCCTTTGTCTCTTTTGTTGCTTTGTTCTTTTACTAGGGTTCTAAAAAACAGAATGGGAAGCAGATTTTAATAATCTATAATAAAATGAAAATAAGTCTATAGAAAAAATACTTAATTCTGACAGAAATCCCATAGCAATCTCAAGTAACCTGTGGCAAATTCTTACAAATACACTTAAAAGTTCAAAATGTTGCAGGTGTTCATTGTGAACAAAATAATTTTATTAGCCAAACTTACCTTAATCTGACTTTACTTTATGTGAGTTAAAAGAAAAAAAAAACTTTTTGTATTGTCTTTCTGCTGAATGATCTATTTAAAATAACAACAAATAAAAGCAAGTAGGTGATATGCCAAGAAGTGAAATTTGAGAGACTGAAAGCACGGGAGTTGAAGATAAATCAGAGACAAATTTCCTTCCCTTTATTCCTACCAACACTCCCACTTCAAACCCACCTATCAATTTGCGTTGAGGTAGTCTGCAATTGATCCTCATGATCAAAGAAGAAATCATTAATATGTTTATGGACTTACAGTCTACCTTCTTAACTAATTATTTTATACACTAATTGATGTTATCTGTCTTGAACCAAAGTTTTTGTTTGGTTGTTTTTTGAGACAATTCTCTGTATTTATCCCAAGATGGTTTGGAGCTCACTACGTAGCTTGAGATGGTCTTAAACTCCTGATTCTTCTACCTTAGTCCTCCTGGGTGATGGTATCCATGACCTTACCTAGCTTGAACACAGGTTTTAATATTTAACTGTCCTTACAACATGCACGCATTTGTTTATTATGAATAGTTAATTGAAGCATATATTAATGAAGCAAAACTAGAATAGTGTTCCAAAAAGACAAATAATTCCCATGCTTGTTAAGTATGTTTGTTGAGGAATAAAGACTATTTGAAAAAAAGCTCAGCTGCTTAAATATTTTATGATGTTTTACAAAGCCAATCAGGTGTCTATTGAATATCTAAATCAGTAGCTAAAATGTAAGCATCATTTTATTGATAAGCTGTATCCTCCTCAGGATAAATCTACTCTACAGAATCTTAAATTTTCTTTTCTGCTTTCAAATTTCTGTCATTGGAAGTGACAAATGTTTCTTGAAAAGAGGTTGAAAATATGTGTTAACCCGTTTTTTTTGCTTTTGATATACTGGAGAGGGACATGGGTCTTCAGTGGGCTAGGAAAGTCCTATACCATTGAGCTATGATTACACTTCATACTTTACTTTTAATACAAGTCTACAACATAATTTTACAGTGCAAAACTCTTCAACTTTCATTTTTATAAACAATGTAAGGAAGTACAAATTTATATAAACTATAGATGGCTGGTATAAATGGTAGATACCAAATGAGTTTCCTTAAATTAAGTACCTAGAAAACAGGTATTAGCATTATTAAATAACTCACTAATCCTACTTCCCAAGCTGTGGATAAATTGAATCAGTGGGCCAAAAACAAACTGAATATGGAAACTAGATGCCTAGTTCTAAGAATAATGATCAGTATTAATGCCAATCTGAGAATTCTCTAGTTGGTAATGGGTACACATAACTCTAGGTACACAAACTATATGGTGTGGGGAAAAGTGGCAAAAGAAGGTGCTCCTTGCTTCTATGCCAGTAATTTGTTTATGGAGATATCAGCTCTTCCTTGTTCTTTGATGTGTAACAATGCCTGCTGAACATCTGCATATGGCATAGAGTCCCAGTGTTGAAGGGATCTTCAGGAGCTTCTGGTATAACCCTTCTAGTGATGTTTGAGGAAGCACTGAGTTTCCTCAGTGGTGATATTTACACCAACACTTCTCAACCTTTCTAATGCTGCAACCCTTTAATGCAGTTCCTCATGTTGTGGTGACCACAGCCATAAAATTATTCCATTGCTACTTCATAACTGTAATTCTGCTACAGTTATGAATCTTAATGAAAATACCTGATATGCAGAATATCTGACATGTTATATGATATGACCCTTGTGAAAGGGTCATTCGACCCCCAAAGGGGTCACAACCCACTGACAACCCACTGCTCTACATCCTCCTCTACCATCTCCAATGCTCATTTCTTTGTTAAAAGTAGAAAGCTATACAGTTTAGGTTGGTTTCCTTGCCTTCAGTCACTATGTCCTGCTGACTTGGCCTCTAATAACCATTTCCACCTCTCTACTTCTACGTCCATTTAAAAAAAAAAATTAGAATCCTGCTGTGTTGCCCAGGCTGGTGTCAGACTCCTGGTCTTAAACAATTTATACCCTTTTCCATTCCATACTTCATAACAGGCATTCATCACTGCACATGGTTGTGTTGCCATTTGGCCAGCATCTTCTCACATCTAAGATATGAGAGCCTTTAAGATCTTCTGTCCCTGTCTCTGGTTTCTCCTCACCCAATATATTTTGTAAAGTTTTAGCACTTGCACACCCAATGATGTAGAGATGTTTGGAAATGTTTAAGGCAAGGACTTTCCCATAAGGAATTTACAAATAAACATCTAAGCTTCAATTTCACAGTAGGGACTGACTGAGGGTGGAACTCAGTGGTAGCAGCAATTGTCTAATATGTATGAGGCGCTGGGTTGGCTCCTCAGTGGCGTTCTGTTTCATGCTAGAGAAAGAGAGTAGTATTAGCTGCTTAAATCAATTAATTATATATTTAAAAATAACCAGGAGAGGGTATACCTTAATTGGTAGAGTATTTGAATGCACCGAGTTTGACCCTCAGCACCATATAAAACCAGGGATGGTGGCGGATATGTATAACTGTAGGACTCAGGAAGTGGATTCAGGAAGATCAGAAATTCAAGATCATACTCAGCCACAGGAGTTCAAATTCACTCTAGGACACATAAGGACTTACAGAGAGGAGTAAGTGCTCCATAGGTAAGGAAAGGCAATAAGAGTGCTGGAGGTGAGAAAAATCAGGATGCATTCTATACCTTCATGAAACTGTCAATGATCAAATTTAATAAAAATATTTGGACATTTAAAAAGGAAAATAACATATTTTCCACTGAGTCCTTTAGGAAAACAAAAACAAAAACAAAAATAGAATACGAATACCCAGCACATGGAAATGGTTAAAATTTAAGGAAATGTAAGTAATCATTACTCTTCACCCATTATATATTGTATATTTGTATAAAATGATCATATTGTGCCCCAAAAATATATTCACCTTTTATGTCTCAACGAAACATCAAATTCTTTGCAGTTGATATCACACTGCTTGGTGTTGTTAACAGATTTCTTTTTAAAAACTATGTCTTTCCTACACAACTGCTTTGAAGTTCCTTTGCTTGTGTATGTCTTTGAAGCCTCTTCAGCATGTGGTCCCAGAATTCATCATGGAAATAAGCAATAAGTATTTATGATTTAGTGTATTTGGTAGTTACCCAGAATTAATGACTTGGAATTTATGCCAACAATCGATCTAAGATCCTGTAAGATATCCAAATGTTATCACATATAATGTAACTAAAAACACAAATTCTGGCTTTATCTTGATCCCTTTCTAGACAGGACCTAACAGAAATTCCACCTGTTGAAAGTCAATGGAAGTCTTTCCATTTCCTTCTTGCTACACTCACATTTCAAAATAAACATATATTTCCAGCAGTATCCCCATTCCTACTAAAAACAAGAGAGTAATGAAACCGATTGCTTTCAATGGATGCTATCATTCCTGTTACTATGTTGAAGGTGAGAATGACATACATTGTGGCATATTCAAACTGAAAAGAGCTATCACAGTATAAAAATCAATGGAATCAAATTCCCTCCCCCAGGTGAAGCCAAATTTGATCCAACATAAAAAGAGGAAAGCATTAAGCAGAGAGAAGACTTTCTGATAACAACAAATATATCTAACAGGAAGGTGAAATTCAGTATGGCTCCCATGTTATGCTGGATCTG